CATGCAATGCAACGGCGAAAATCGCCAGAAATGACCACTAAATCACAATCACCACAACAGATCGATAGCAGAAAAACAGTCTAAATATATATCTGAGTTTACATTAGTTAAAGTTCCTGAACTTGGAGATACCTTGATTAATTTTGTCTCTAATAGTAATAATTTTATTATAAAAGAAGCTCATAAAGTCGTTGCTACTTAGGGTTATGGGGATATGTGGCTCAATAGAGCTTGTGTTCAATTTGGCAAAATTAAAAATACTGAGACAGGGAAAACAAATTTGACGCATTTTACATCTTTATAATCACATCATTATTTATAAAAGACTGTGTAGATTGTGAGGTTTTAATAAAGCCAAGCAACTGTATTATTAGTACATTTTACTTAACTATTAATTTACACATCTCAGCTGCATTTGGTTAATAGCCTACTGGAATATTGTGTCTGGGTTTGATAAGTCTAAAATTACATCCCCAGTCTTATTGTACCCATATTTTAACCAGGTGCCCTTTGAGACTGCATTCAGTGTTCATTACACCCCACATAAACTTAAACTCATATTTAATAGGCTACTTCTTATACAAGAGGACACAACAGGTCCCTTCTATGAACCACAGTTTGGGACAAATTGAGTGCCCAACCGCTAGAAGCAGTCCAGTCGCTGGTGGCAATGAGAAACACCCCCATGACATCACAGCATTTAGGCCAAACAGTTTATCAGACTACAGAATCCCAGCTAACACACACCATATGCATAGTCCTCCCACAATGTTCTAAGAATGTTGTCCAAATGTTTTCTTCCAACTCAACATTCCAAAACAGAATCAGATCATTTGTAGAATTTATATAGTTTATGATAGATTATCAGTGTGTTTTCTTGCCTGATTATCCTGCAGCGTGCAGAAATAGAATAGAATAGAACAAGAAAGCTGCAAATTGCGAGCCGGTCACGGGCTCCACGCATGCTCAGTCTGAACAGCACAATTGGTTAACATGAACACTGAGAGGAAGGGGGCAGTGCTTCATGGCACGCTTCCTGTGTTGGTCCTTTTAAACTCTGTTATTGTTGGTATGAGGTTACAACTAGTTAACGTTATTTATAGGTAACCCATTGTTCTAAAAAAAATGTTTCATCTCACTCAAACATCTTCTAATTGCAAACTATATTTATATATACTGCTGACCAAAGTCTGAGTTCCTCATCCTTTTATAATGAAACCAATACTCAGCCAGAGGAAGTCTACTACCTGAAACATTTCCATCTCTGTCTTAAAGCTATTCCACTGGTACAGTATAAATTGTAAATGAATTATCAATCCCATCAGAAGCATATATGATATACATAAGATTGTTGCATTGCTTCTATTCCCTGCCCTCTGCAGGCTAACACACACACCATCTGCCTAAACATCCCTGCTCCTGTCTCAGACTGTCTGTGAAGTGATTAAAGGACATCTGCCAAACCACTCATGATACACAGCTCCCCTTTTACCCACAAGCCTCTTCACCCCTCCAGCCGCCGGCCAAATTCAACAAATGAACTTTCATTATCCCACTATGAAAAAATACCTAAATTGTTTAAGTCCATTTGTCAAAATCCACATAATTGCCTCCCAGCGTGCAACCAACACTTGGGGAATAAATCTCCAAGGGGTTTGGGCACTGTGGTAGTTTTTTGGTCCAATGTTCTCAGAGGGAGGGGAGTTAAATCATCCATATTTCATATTGGGTTTATTTTCTTTTGGGTATATTTGGGTTTTTTACATAGGGGGATAATTAATAACATCACCTCTTTTGCATCGCTGAAAGAGTGTTGCAAAAAACTGATGGGAATCTGTCGTAAAAAGCACTTAGGAAGGGACTTGGATTTCTGTGCCATTTGTTGTCCTCTCTCACTGCTGGACACTGAAAAACATCATGATCATACACTATCATGATATATCTCAAACTTTTGGTCAACTGGTCCAAGCACAGAACCTTGTGGAACTCCATGACTGACTTGAGTATTTATGGACGATTCATTTACAACAACATGTACAAACAGAGAACGATCTGATAAATAGGACTTCTGTAATAGAATATGATGGTCAATGGTGTCAAATGCAGCACTAAGATCTAACAATACAAGTACTGAGACCATTGTTGGAAGCCGCTAAAAGGTCGTTATTAATTTAACCAGAGCTGTCTGTGCTGTGATAAACTAAATCCTGACTGAAGAAAGATTAATCATATCTAGTAAAGAAGTGCCAATTAAGGGTACAACTTCTTTAAGCAGCCTAGTTGGGATTGGATCTAACAGACAGGTTGATGGCTTCGATGAAGAAATTATTGATAAGTGTTAACTGATGAAGATTGATAGCAGAAAAACATTCTAAATGTATATCTGAGTTTACATTAGTTAAAGTACCTGAACTTGGAGAGCCAGTGATAGCTGTTGAGGGCATTTGGTGATTTTCTCTCTAATAGTAATAATTTTATTATAAAAGAAGCTCATGAAGTCATTGCTACGTAAGTTTATGGGGATATGTGGCTCAATAGAACTGTGACTCTCTGTCAGCCTGGCTACAGTGCTGAAGAGGAACCTAGGTTGTTCTTATTTTTCTTCTATTAGTGCTGAGTAATAGGCTCCTCTGGCATTACGGAGGGCCTTTCTATAATTCTTAAGATCATTTTGCCAAATCAAGCGACACCCTAGTAATTTCGAAGCGCGCCATTTCCTTTCTGATTTCCTTGTTTCTTGCTTTAATTGGCGAGTTTGGTGGTTGTACCACGGTGCTTCCTATATTCACTACTCATTATTCTTTAAACATGATCCACCCACCCATCTCACCATGTAGCCAATTATACGCCATCAGTCTGTATAACACTACAACCACCAATGGGTGAAATTTACCTGCAGCTGTTTCTCAGTTGTGTGTAACTTTGTTTAAATAAAATATCCAAGTCCTACAGTCTTTGACCTTTTAGGTATATAGGTACCCCTATTGTTGAAAATGGTCAATAAACAGATGTTTATAAATTGGCATTTATACCAATAAGCACCAGCAGGTAAAATTTATATGCAAGTAATTTTTTGTGGAAGTAATTTTGTGCGTTTAGATAAGCATTCTTTGTTACTATTGACAATGCATTTTGTGTACTACCGTGTGTGACAGAGCTGCGTCATAAGTCATAGTCTTACTTTCAATAGAGAAAGAAATAAGAGTTTTGAATGCAAGATCAGACTTGCACAGTGAATAAGAGTGTGGTCAGTTTTATCTCAGATCTATAATATTCTCTCAATTCTATACTTTGTTGTAGCCTATATATTCTATAGAGTAGTGTCACCTTCATAATCAAAGTGACAAGTAGCAACATGTAGTCACAGAAGAGCGAGAGAACCATGGACACAGTTGTCTATAGTTCTTATAATATTTCTATGATCATTAAGTAGCATCTGTGCTGATGAAAATACTCCCCCAAACCAAGCCACCTCAATACATTTTAGGGGAGACATTTCTACGGATATATTGTTTGGTGTAAACTAGGAGTGGAGCAGATAATGAGACTGAGGAAATGAACCTGCACTGACTGCACCGCACTCAGCTTAAGGTAAAGTTTATACAGTCAAAACTAGGGTGTGTTTTGAAAAATAAAAATGCCGGTGGTGTGGAGATAGGAGGGTGCTCTCAATGGGCCATCCCACCTGTTGATGAAATGAAATGAATAAATCACCAACTGCTTGTACCTTGAAAGTAAATGCATTCTAGTGAGTACATTTTATTTGTTGACAGTTTTAGGTTAACAGCAACAAAGTCAATAATAGGTGTTAGAGCGATTTTTTTATGTCTTTGGGTGGCGCTGTGAGCAGCCACTAGTCTATTTAAGGTTTAGACTAATTCGTACATGTGTGGCGCACAATGAGGCATATGGTTTTTGATCGTGTGTAGGTCGGCTTTAATTGTTTTATTGTTGTTATAATTTAGGAAATAAATGGATTGATATATCCAACTTTAATTTTGACCTCATCTGTATAGTTATGCATAGAGACTCAAGCATGATAATCCTGTTCCAGTGTTTGTTGTCCATCACTCCAATACATCATGCTGGGTAGACGGAGATCTGAGGAGTCAGGAAGCTGGTGTAGTGAGCACAGCAGTGATGGAGGTCAGTACCTGGCAGTGGGCCACGCACTGGACAGCGTGACTGGCTGAATGCGGTGGTGACGAGCATGAGGGCTAGACATTTGGGGCTTATTGACCAAGCATATTTTATTTTCGATCATTTAGAGGGAGAAGCTAGAGATGAGATTAACCCTTATCCCTCTCTGCTTGACGTTCGGGCCGAGGCTATCAGGTGAGAATGTGAGGGTGGGTCAGCTAATAGAGGTAACCATCATTCTGTTCCTTCATTCTGTGCCGTGCAAAGTTCCACTGTGCCGGTGCAGGTTGAGTGCTAACCTAGCAGCTTTATCACTTGACAACTCCTGGCCTGCGATTGGAGAAGCAGTATGAACATGATTTCAATGAAAAAGTTGCTGAAGACAAAGAAGAAATGTCAAGAGGAGGCAAGATTAATTAAAATTATGGATCTGTGAAGTTACAAGATGGACATTACAGTTTAAAACTGCCATTCAGAACCAAAGCGGTGACATTGCCAAACAACCATTGTGTTGCTCAACAGTGCCTCACCGGAACAAGAAAGAAAATGGAAAGGAATGAGAAATTCCACCAAGAATACACAACATTTTTCGAGGATGTCATCAACTATGGCTATGTGGAAATAGTCCCACAGGATGAATTGCATTGTGGTGAAGATAATATGTTATACATTTCTCATCATGGGGTTTACCAGCTAGCAAAGGCAAGTTAAGTGTTGTTTTTGACTGCAGAGTTCAAAGGAACCTCCTTGAATGATCAACTTCTGCAAGGCCCAAACCTTAGAAGTTCCTTAATGGTAGTGCTCCTGATATTCAGACTAGAACCCATTGCCTTTATATCTGATATAAAATCCATGTTTTATCAAGTCAAAGTGGGAAAGGAAGACAAGGACTTTCTACTATGCTGGCCCAAGGAAGTTGCAAAGTACATAATGACTGTACATCTATTTAAAGCAGTGTTGTCTCCCAGTTGTGTATGTTATGCTTGAGGAAGACTGCAGGGCAGTTTTTTGGATTAAGTGATAGAAATTTCTTTGTGGATGACTGCCTGAAAAGCTCATCATCTATGAAAAAAGCAGTAGAGATTTGTCATGACCTTGGTGAGCTTTGCCAGAAAAGAGGCTTTCATCGTACACAGTGGATCAGCAACAGTTGCAAGTCTTGCAAACAATTCCTGAGAAGGAACATTCTACAAATGTGAGTAAACTCAATTTGGACAGACATCCACTCCCAGTGAAAAGAGCTTTTGAGGCTCCAATGGTGCATGAAAAGCAACACCTTTAACTTCCACATGGACAGCCAATAACAGATGCAAACTCGACAAGGGATCGGTTGTCAGTTCAGTGTATGATCATTTAGGGTACCTTGCACCAATTACTCTTCTAGCCAAGCACATTTTACAAGAGTTGTGCAGAAATAACTACAGCTAGGACCAAGAAATTCCAAAGACAACAATGGATCAATTGGTTGAATGACCTGAAAGAATCTTGAAATCACATGACTTTGGAACAACTGTCCACACTCAGTTGCACCACTTTGCTGATGCCAGTGAAGGAGGATATGGCATGGTAACATACCAGAGGTTATAGAATGAACGAGGTGATGTACATATTTCTTTCCTTCTTGGAAAACCCAGAGTGGCACCACTTAAACCAGTAACCATCCCTTGTTTGGACCTCACTGCAGCTGTCTTGGCTGTTTGGCTAGACAGAATTACAGCTTCCACTGGAAGATTCCGGTTTCTGGACTGAAAACAGCACAGTCTTGAAAAACATCAACAATGAGAACAAGAGATTCAGAACATTTGCGGCCTATAGAAAAGATGTCATTAAGGAAGCGTCAGACCCAGCACAATGGCATTGTATACACCCAGATGATGCGTCTAGAGGACTGATGGCCCACAAGCTTCTCAACAGTTCCAGAATTCTTGTGTAAAGCATAGGAAAATGGATGAGTCCACAATTGATGGTGATCCAGAGGTCAAAAGGGAGATCTCTACAAATGCAATATGTGTTCAAGACAGTAGTGCAACCAGTCAGGTATCACATATCATTCTGATTGGGAAAGACTTAATGAAGAATATCCACATTTAGCAGACTTACTAACCAAGTGAAGAGAAAGAGAAGCTCTCCACAGTATGTCAGACTGCACAGCTGCTTGTCAGACATGGTGACGAGCAGCACTGGCACACCCCAAGGAACTGTACTATCACCGTTTCTGTTCACCCTCTACACCTCTGACTTCTGTTCCAACTCCGGAGCGTGCCATCTACAGAAGTTCTCTGATGACTCCTCCATTGGCATTAAAGGCACCGCACTAAGCTAGTTTAAGTCATACTTATCAGATCGTTC